GATAGCACTATTTTCTCTTGTGAGCTAGGTTAGCTGTGCTGTTTTCTTTGCGACTCAAGTAGTCTATTATGATTGAATTAACCTGCAGATGACTGTATTTATCACCTCCACTAATTACATCACAAGACTTGATCAAAGGCAGCACATACTTTGCTTTTATATGTAGTCTGATACCTTAACTCTTAAGAATCTGGTAGAGCTTGATAAATGAGTAAAAAGTAAGCTTATATAGAAGTCAGTATTTTATCCTCACAAAGTATTTGATTATTGCTTGGAATGCCTATTTTTTGTTACAGCTCCCACCCTTTCATTTCCATAGCAGTTTTTCACCATAATTAAATATTTTTCATCAACTTTTTTTTTTTTTTTTTCGTGCAGCTAATCTTCCAGGTATTTTTGTTGTGGTTGCCTTCCTTACAGTTGCTTGCTTTTCTGAATATGTTATCTTAAGAGTATCCAGTGCTGGAGATAAATTGAGATTTTTACTTTTTTTATTTCAGAAGCTTAAACTTTTACAATTTCAACGATACATGTTTAGAGACAAACAGGGAGATTCATGCTTTAAAAGGTAGTCCTTGAAAGATCTTCCTTGTTATTTTCAGTTACTCTAGAGTTACGTGATTTGTGAAAGTCCACTTCAGTGTAGAGCATTGTATTCTTCTAGACATTAATGTGTCCGAAGAGGCCCCAAATCACTGGATACTTTTACATTTGTATTTTTAATAATTTTATAATGAACTTCTACGATTCATGGGTAATGGTATGCTTGGGCCTTCATTTATGTCAAATGGTCTAATGTGTTATACTGTTTTTATTTTACTGTATAGAATGAATTATAAAATGGAGAAAAACCAAATGCATGTGTATAATATTTTAGAGCTTGTATATAGACTGCAGAAATCCAAACTTAAATCTCTTTAACATAAAGCAAAATGTTCTGCTCTTAGTTTCTTGTAAATGACAGTTTACTTTTAAACTAAATAAAGTGTTCAATTGTTACTGTTAGTTAAAGGAACTACTGAGTGTATAAACAAATACTGGTGTTAAATGATGAATTTTTACAGGGAAAAAGAAAATTTAAATTAATCTGTACAATTTATTGTTCTTGCACAGATACTTGGGACTGCATAGCAACTTGCTTTTTCATTGATACAGCACATAATGTTATTGATTATATTGATACTATATGGAAAATACTGAAGCCTGGAGGCATATGGATAAATGTAGGCAAGTGTGACCAACTTCCTTTTCGCAACCCCCAACTTCCCTTTGCTCACATAACAGGCATCTGTACTATATAGTACTATAATATAATAGTGTGGGGGTGAAGGCATCTGTACTAAAGACTGTGTGGAGATAAGAACACCCATGACTTTAGAATTTTGTGTTCAGCATTTGTTCAAATATTTGTTAGTTACAATCAAGTTATATCACCATGTGATGTGAAATGTTGAAGTGTGTCTTACCAGTGCTAGGTTTCTTATATATGTTATTTGTTCGTTATTTAACAATTGAAGTGTGCTGTATTCTTGCTGTTAATTAAAGCTCCTAAGTGTAAGTTTTGGAAATGAGGTTTATGGATATCCTTATCACAAAAAAAGGCTTTAAGTCTCCTATGGGACTGGCAGACAAAGCTTTGTCATTAAATATTTTGTATAGGAGAAGCTTATCAGTCACAGAATGTGAGCATAGGTCTTGAGTAGACCGTGGTTTGTCCTGCATTCTATTCTGTACACACAGCAATGATACTAGACTGATAGCATGGAAGAAAGTTTAAGGTACAGCATGGTTTGATGGGAAATGAGACTTCGTTCTTGCATAAGCAGTTGAACTACTGTGATATTGTACAGAATTCTGACGTTCATTTTAAGAACCCTATTTCAGTGATGGCAATGTGTTCCAACTTAGTGGGTCTGGATGCTAGCATTCTTCACGTTTTCAGTATGTGGTTCTTATTTTAAAAACACTTTTGATGGACATTTCCATTTGTGTTTGCACTCCAGGTCCTCTTCTTTACCACTTTGAAAATTTGGCAAATGAACTTTCAATAGAGTTAAGCTATGAGGATATAAAAAATGTTATACTGCAGTATGGCTTCCATATAGAGGTAAGATGGTGTAGTTTTGACTGAGCAGCATTGGTAAAGACTGGACAAACTTCTTAATTAGAGTTTATCTTAAAGTTCTTTCAAGCTAGTGTTGTAGACAACTTTTAGGAGAGTAGGTTGTGTGTAATTGTGTCACAGATTTGCTTTCCTCATTTTTTGAAAAGTGTGAGGTTTTGAAATCTATGGATTGTAATTAAGTAACAGTTTCTTTCACTAAGAGATGTTGAAAATGTTTTGAAAACTTATGCTTTCTTTTCCAGGTGGAGAAAGAATCTGTACTGTCAACTTACACTGTGAATGAACTCTCCATGATGAAATACTACTACGAATGTGTGTTATTTGTGGTGAGAAAGCCAGAAGAGAAATGCTTTGAATAGGTTAGTCAGAAAAAAATTTGGCCTGAATGCTAGAATTAAAAATAATGTGGACTGAATGATGTCTGGACACAACCTCAAATCAGTGGTGCCTTCCTATTCCAAATAAGATTTAGATAGTGTCTATTTTCTTAATATTTCTGTTGCTATCCAGACATGTACTATGCCATACATATTTGTACTATAACTAGTGAAAATGGAGGATAAAATGTTTGCATACACTGTCTTTGTGCTTTGGAATGCATTAAGAACAAAAATGTTTTCTTGGATATAAGAATTGTTTGCCAGAACCAAGCTAATTTTGCAAATGCTGCCTCGTTTTTCTGGGTTTTATAATGATTTCCTTTGTTCTGCTTTCTGATGTTAGGAATGCACAAAGGTACGTACTGTACTGCGTCACATCTAAGAAGTATTTTTAAACATACACTTTTAGTCAATTATGAAGTCTGAAATGATTGAAAATTTATGAAATGATTGAATGATCTGTTATTGAGTCGTGGTAACCTAGCAAGGGGGTTGGAACTAAATGATCATCTTATAGCATTGAAACTGAAATATTGGATGCGTCGTGGCTTTAAAACGTACTGATTTCAAGTCACCTACTTACTGCTTAAGCCAAAGTGTTAAACGTATAACTAACAGAAACTTAGGATAAACCTTGCACTCATCTCTTTTTCAATGTTAATGACAAAACTGAGTTATCCATGCCACTTGTAGGTAGTGACAGAGAAAAATCCCTCTTTCTCGAGGAATAATAAAAAAAAAACATGTAAATAATGTGCTGTAACTTAGTGATTTCCTTACCTGAGTCAGCATTGTAGCTTTAGGCACTTTACTACTTAGTGGCTTACTACTTCCTTATCCTATGTTTTTTTCTGGCTAATGAGGCTTCGGTGGATATTTAATCTGCAAATCCCAGCTGAATCTTCATAGAAGTAAGGCTGAATCTTCTTTTGCTTAAGTTATATAAGTGAAAAAAATTATGAGCTTAGAGGAGGTGTCATGGTAGCCATTTGTCCTCTTAATGTATTCGTTAGGTTCAGTACCACCTTTATTGTTATTCAAAATATAAGAACCTAAGTAATTAATAATAAGGAATTAAGGGTGTTTTCAGGGTCATAATGGTGCACTGGACAATAACTTTTTAAAATGTTTACGATTGTTTCTGGTCCCTTTTTCAGGGTGATGTCATACTCTCATAATCACATCTTTTTAATATTTCCATTATTAACTTCGGGATTTTTCCTCTTAAGGCTGGATGTTTGTGCCTTCATTTCTAAAATGAAAGTTTGCCTGGAAGAAAAACACAATTCTGTTCTGTTTTTTTGTGGGTTTTTTTTTTTTTTTTTTGCTTGTTTTTAAAATAATTTCAACACTGCGTATAGAAAAAGAGTGATTGTGGATATTTCAGTACTGTGCCCATTTCTAGTCAGAATTTTTACTGAGAATAAAGTAAGCTTCTGTTCTGGACTACAGAAGTTTTCAACTCTACATAAAATACTCTTGTTTGAACTGTATCACCAAGATTTTACTCCATTGATGAACTGCTGAGATTCTGTCTTGGTCCAAGAAAGATTTTTAAGGCACCACTACTGTACGGGGATTAAAATAGAAGTCCTTCCACACCGTAAAAAAAAAAAAACAAAATGATGATAATCTTCAGTTGTTTTCATTCTCTTACTGTGTTTATTTACTTTGGTTACTGGATGGACTTTGTGTTTCTTCACTTTGTTTTATCCTTAGATAGGTAAGATGAGATTAGTCTTTTGATTTCCAAGTTCCTTGAAGTCAGACAGTTAGCTGAATGTTGGTCCTGTTAGCAGTCAGTGGCTATACCCAACATGCGATGTTTCCTACACATACAAAATTGTACTCTTGTGTTCTGGTTGAACATTGTTATCCTTCGTTCAGTTGGGTTTGTTCATTGCTGCCTCATGTTGTCACAAGTTCCATTTTCAACACTGGTTATAGGAGGTGGTTTTATTGACTTTAATCATGTATATAGCGATGTGCTTGTATTTCTCATTTGGAAAATGCCCACGGATTTCCTTTCAACGTGTAGCAGCTGCATTAACAGCTGGAAGCAGCACAGCCTTGTGAATCGGTGGTGTGAGTCAGTGGAACCCTCTGCCCTACCTGCACGTTCCTGGGCTGCTCCATCGCTCTGCCGGGGACAACCGCGGTGCCACGCTCCGCCCGCTGTGAGCGCGCTCCCAGATCCTGGCCTAACAGACGCTTTTGTCTAGGCTGTACGTTTGACAAATGTAAAACCTCCTGTGTTTTTATTTATATGTAGTGCGCACACAGCACAGTCACAACGATGGGGATGGGAAGCTTCATGTCTCCGCGTGAACTTTCCGCTATTTTTAATGTGTGTAACGAACTTGATTTTTCTCAGACATTAAAGTTTGCAGTACGACGTGGCGTGCGCTGTGGTTTGTCGTCGGCTTCAGTATGGCTTAGGTCCCGCGCGTTCCTGCTGCGGTTACGCGGGGCTCGGGGCTGCGCTGGAGGCGCTGAGCCACAGGCGGGAGGGCGGGGCCCCCGGCGGCGGCGTGCTCTCGCCTTGCCCCGCCCCGCGCGGGCGGCGGGGAACCGGCGGCGCGCATGCGCTTTCGGCGAGCGGCGGCGGCGCGTTCGCTTGGCGTTACGCGGAGCCTCCGCGCCCGGCCTCCCCCATGGCCAAGCGGCGCGCGGAACCGCTGGTCTGTTACGCGCCTTTCAAGCGGCTCCTGCGGGAGCCGCCGCCACCTCCCCGCGCCGCCCTGCCCGAACGCCGCCCGCGGAACGAGGCAGCGGGCGCCGGACCCCCCGCCAAGCGGAAGCTGGAGGAGGCCGAGGCGCCGCCGGGAAAGCGTCCCGGGCTGCGGGGCGGCGGTCCTCGAGGGGAGCAGGGCGATGCGGCGGGCAGGCGGCGGCGGCGGGGCGAGCCCGCGGCGCCCCACGACGGGCGGGCGGCGGAGGGAAGCGACGGCAGGCGGGGCGAGGAGCCGGCGGCCGCCCCGGTAACGGCGCGGGGAGCGGGGCGGGGCGGGAGGTTCGCCGCGCGGGGTGGGCCTCGCTCGGGGGCGCTCCGGTACGGCGCTGCAGGTCCCGCAGAGCCACGTGCCCGCCCGCGGGCGGCGCCTGCGGGCTCTTCGTCCTCCCGTGCTGTGTTTTGTGAAGCTAAGGGAGCGGTGTTTCTGCCCCTCCAACCTTTCTGCAGCGGAGAGGCCGGGGGGAGAGCTTGACTCGGTTTATTCCGTCTTCGGTCGCATCCCCGTCCAAAAGCGAGGCGGAAGTTTGAAGGTAGTGCTCTCACGAGTCGGGCTTAGGCTGTGTGACGGCCCGGCTGCCCAGTCGGCGTTACTGGAGGCCGCAGCTGCTGCTGCTGCGATCACAGCGCCGGCGCACGGTTGGCTTCCAGCGCACCTGACCGGCGCCGAACAATGGAGCGGGATGGCCGCGTTCTGTGCGGTAGAATAGCAGACAGCGTGTGGCTCCAAGAATGTCTTATTTTCTTAAAAGTAATACCGGCCTAGAGGTCTGCGACGTGTACACTCACGTGGCCCTTTCAGATGAAAGCAAAGAATTAGATCTGGTGGCTTTGTGGGGGCAGGTCCGGTAAACTGAAGGGACATCGGGCCGGTTCTCAGGGTGGTCCTTCAATTGTATGGCACCACACCATGTCTTGCAAAGGCATCTTTTCAGTAGTCTGTGGGGCAATGGCCGTAAACTGGAGCATAGGAAGTTCTGCACCAGTATGTGAAGGAACTTCTTCGCTGTGTGTGTGATGGAGCACTGGAGCAGCCTGCCCAGGGAGGTTGTGGGCGCCTACATGTTTGGCCTTCTTTGCAGGGGGGCTGCACTCGATGGTCTTCATAGGTCCCTTCCAACCCTTACAGTTCTGTGATTTGTGACTTATTCTATCTCAGGCTTTTTGTCTGCTTTTTTTCAGCGGATTGTAGAATTGAAGCATGAAGGGAAAAAATTTAGTATACAAGTACGCTATATACTTCGTATACTTTATATATACTTTATTTATACTTTGCTATAAATAATATTTTTGCTAGGCAGTATTTTTTAGTTGTGTGTTTCCCTAAGTAAAATACTGTACAGACATGTCTCTCTCCCCCTGAACCAAAGCTTGGTCAATGGCAGACAGGAGGTGTTTCTTCCATATTCTGAACCTTCAAGCTGTATGATTTGCATCTTAAACAGCAGTGACTATTTCTTGTGATGATTCTTGTACCTTTCTGAAAGTGCAGCTGTAGATTAGCATTGTTCTTTGCTCTTTGGTGGCTTGTTTAGTTTGTGACAGTAGTGACCATGGTCAGAACAGTGTTAATTTCACACTTACTGTTAAATTTGCTGGCAATTATCCTTAGGTTGGCCAGAGAAGAAATGGTATTTGAGTTTACTTACAGGCATTGTAAATATTGAAAATATTTGCAACTGCATTTGAGAAATTAACTCTGAAACAACTTCATCCAGTGAAGATTAACTTCATTTTTCTCAGCTTATTTTGGAGATACATAGGTGAAGAGGAGTATTTGATGCACTAATGTTGAATGTTTGCTCCTCTCTGGTGTGCTCCTCTAGCTTGTTCGCTTTCACACAGAATTTTTGTGAGGAATATAAATAAAGCAGAATACTGCAGCTCTTGAGACTTTAATGCTCATGAGATTAATCCCATTTATAGTACAAAGCCAAAATCTGTATCTGCATCTTTGTAGTTCTAAGGTTTTGGATCATGATAGTTTAGAAATGCTGTCGATTAGTGAGTGTGTGCAAAACAGGTAGCACAGAGGTATTCTGATGTCAAGAATCAAGCTCTTATGGTACGAGCAGTAACCTATTACTAAACCATAAAAAAGGGAATTCATTAAATGTGTAGAGAGTTGTCAAGAATAGCGGACAGATTCTGAGTTGGTTTTCAGAGATACTGCCTTGCACAGTACTGAGTGTGCGACGCATCCCTGTGTGGAGCTTGGACTGGAACTTCTTCCCTTTCTCTTTCTCTCTTTGGTTTGTTGTTAATATTATGCTGTATATAAAATTCAGTTTACAAAACTGTATTTCAGATGTGTACAGCTGCTTTCAGATACTGGGTGTTTAGATAGGTATTCGTTCAGTTTCCATATCCTTCTGTTATCATGGCACCATATCATTCACTGGTTTTGCTCACTGATCCAAGTAATGGGAACTTTGGTTCTGTAATCTGTAGTGAAGGCAGTCTTTGTGCAAGTTAATGCATTAGTAGGACTCTACAGGTGCACAAACATACTGTTGCTATGAGATGTCTTCACATCTCAAACCTAATATTAAAGGCCTTTAATAACGCAGGTTTTGATGGTGGAAAAAGGGGTTAATTAATACAAACTGGAGTTCATGGTAGGCTTGTATTGCAATGAATAGAAAAATGTTTATTTAGAGGGAAAATATTGTAAGTTTATACACTTTTTAAATTTAGTTAAAGAAAAAAAGACATCATTATTGCGGTGGCTGAGACGGGTTATGGTCAGTGCTTACTGGAATTTACTGAACATTACAGTTTTTTTTTATTAATCAATTACAGAGTCAGCAGATGGAGCATGAATTTGCTCAAAAGTCTTATCAAAGCAGTTGTAACAGTTCAGTTGCAAAACTTATTTTTTCATCAACTGGTTATGATGAGTCATTTAATATAATGTTTAACAGTTCCAATTATAAGTTAACAAAAGCATTTGTTTTTGTATACCAGAAGAAAGTGCATGCTTAAGATGTAAGGAGTGGCTTGAGAATTCCTCTTTTCACTTCTTACATATATAACTGGGCATATGCACAGGTTGGCCGCCCAGTCTGTAAATTTTATTCTGTGATTAAGGACATAAAGCTAAAAACCAACTGTGCTATCCAACAGAGACTTTTAAAAGTTTTTTCAGTGACATGTACATACCAAGTAAGGTAACAGATAAGTGAATGTTCCTCTCATGTTTTTCTTGTATGGCTTACCAGTCCCTTCTTCTCTTTGGCCCCAAAAGACATCTTGATTTTTCTGATGCCTACTTGAGAACAAAATGTACATATAGAAATGAAGAAATACAATGTGGTAAAATAGTTGAACATCTTCTTTTGAATACTAGCTTCTAAATGCACATGAAATGTCTGTGTTGTTGTGAGAAGAAAAGAATGAACAATTTATATATGTGTGAAGTACAGTAATTGCATAGGTTTTTCAGTATTATTCAACTGCGTCCCTGAAAGGGCTGCCCCAGGATGTGGTTGATTCCCCTGTCCATGGAGACTTTCGAGGTGAGGCTGGATAAGGCCCTGGGCAACATGATTTAACTGTGTTGCCCCTGTTCATTGCTGGGGAGTTGGACTAAATGGCCTTCAGAGGTCCCTTTCAACTCTAAGAATTCTATGATTCTTGATTCTAATGAAAGATTGCCATTTGAACAAATTGATGGGGTCATAGAGATGTTTCCCAGAAGTGATGCAGTAATTGAATACTTGACAAAAGTAAATTATTTGCTTAATCGATTAATGTGATATATATTAATATTTTGTTGCCTTTTTTTATCTTTTCAAAGCAAGAAGAATTCAATCAGTATAACTCATTCTTGTATTGGAGAGCACCATTGCCTACAATTGATTTATCTGATATTCAGAGCCTACATGGAGAGACTACATCTGCTGATAAAACTCCTTCAAGGACTGATACCATGGAGATTGAGATGGAGACCTGATCCATTGTTTCATAGTTGTACATCTACTCGCAGGAAGCTTGTTTCTGTTTGGATTCAGTTTTTCCTGTGTGGGAAAAAAATCAACATGCTTCTGTTTTCATGAAGGAAGAGTGTTATATCAATCTGAAAAGGCAAGTCAGAGCTGTCAGGTTGGTGGAATCATCACAATTAGGTACTGTTAGCTGGCTGGAGATATGAATTTACAGTGTGGAGAAGGCTATGAGGCTGTGTTTGTTTAGCATGAAGGCTTGAATTCATGTAAGCAAAGTAGAAGAAAACAACAGAAAATTAGTTAACTTCTGGATGTAGTTATAAAAAACAGTTGGATAAGTTACACATGGAAAGAAAATGGAAAATAGTTTAGCCTGTCCTGAACAAGAAGTGTAACTGTTGTACCGGAATATGAAATTCTTCATCATAAAGCACAAAAAAATAGTACTTTTTAGTGTTTTTTTTTTCTTTTTTTTTTTTTTTTTTTTCTGTGTAATACCTAAGCCAAAAAAATATCCACCAAAACATTCCCTTTTCTATGCAAACCAAAAATGAGTGTATTGGGGATGGGAAGGGAAAAGGGGATCTATTCTATAAGCTGCCAGTGTTCTGAATGATTGCAGTCTTCTTGTGATCACTCAAAGCAGCTAGCTTTTACATTTTTTTTTAATCTGTTCTAAAGTTAATGATTTTCTTACTCTTTGTGAAATTAAACTAGCTGGTAATGTGGAAATAGCAGCTGTGTGCAGGGTCATGAAAGGTTAATGCAGTATGAATTGTGTACCTAGTTGACTGACATTTAGTTTTTTGCAGATGTTGTGGATGTTGCAGAAATCTTTTTTTACAGTAGTTCAATTAGTTCATGGCTATTGTTGTGTTTTGTTTTTTTTTTTTTGCTGTGAAATATGATTGTAATGTGCTTTTTTGTAATTTATTTACAAGTTAAAATACAATTAGAAATATGTGTTTTCAGTAATAGGTTGAAATTTAAAGTTGTATTGGCAGACTGTCAGACTTGTGAATGTGACTTGTTTTTAGGTGAGTTTGTCATATTTTTGCTGGAGTCATCTTAAAATAAAAAAAAAATCTTTTTACTAACATATTTGTGGATAAAATGTTGTCTGTGTGCATTTGCAAGCCTTGGGACTGTTAAGGTTCGAAACTCCTGACTTTTCTCAAGATTGTTTCTGTAACTTGGTTGTTTTATTTATTGTCCTTATTGAAAAAGAAACAACTTGTCCGCCTTCTTAGTAAACAGTTCAAAACTTTTTTTCAGCATTTGTACTGTAAAATATTTTTATTGTCAGAGTCCCCTAGTGCTTGCAGAAGAAAGGAAAAGGCTTACTAAATTGGACGTTTCATGGTGCTCGTTCAGATATGCTTCTAATTGCTATCACATTGGCAAGATACACATTTAAAACAATATTCATATTAAGCATGCATTTTAATATTAAGTCCAAATCTAGTTCTCTTAAGAGATGCTTTAAAAATGTCCTTAAAAGCCTACGAGATTTCTGTCAGGAATGCAACCATTATTGTTTAGTATAACCAATGTAAATGAGAAAGAAAGGAAATACATTTGTGAGGGTTTTTGTTTGTTTGTTTTTGTTTTTTTTTTAAGCACTAATATACTGCCTTTCTGTATTTGCAGTCTGTCTAATATGCCACACCATTCAGTATTTCTCAGGATACACTATTTTACATTATTACTTATGCAGATACATGTAGCTCACCCTGAAAGTAACGCCTCTTATTTATTTCTATGGAAGCAACAACAGATTCCAGTCATGAGCAAGAGTCTTCATGCCATGCTTAATAAAAATCCACATGGCCATCTGGAATAAGGCTTGTCTGTCATGTTGCTGTCACAACTGCTGAAACACACTGCCCACCACCTCACTGCACTCACATCCACACTTTGGTCTCCATCAGCATTCAGCAAGTGTCAGTGAATGACAGTGAGCTAATTTTTTTTTTTTTTCTGCATGGAAGAATTCAATCACAGAATTGTGGGGGTTGGAAGCTCATCTAGTCTAACCCCTGCTAAAGCAGGTCCCGTAGGTTACCCAGGAAAGCATGAGCAAACAACCTCCTGTGAGCACTTGGAATGAAAGGCAAGCCTGACGTAGAGATTGCTGCCAATTTGCCAAACCAGAACAGGCAAAAAATGTCTTTAAGAGCTGCGAGATCTGGTTTAGTAGCTTGTGGTAGTAGTGGTAGTGTGAAGACGGTTGGACTAGATGATCTTACAGGTTGTTTCCAACCTTGTGATTCTATGATTCTATGATAAGTTTCTGAAAGTGTAAATAGTTCGTAGAACATGGATTATTGTTCACATAATAAACATGGAATTTTTATTTTCCCAAATAAATCACCGTATCAATGAAAATCATTGAATGATAGAGGGAGGGCCAAAGCTGGTGCCTGAATATGTGTAGTGCTGGTATTGGGAGGTCACCAGCCAACAGGTTGTGATGTTAGAGATGACTGTAGCCTTGCTGACCCTCACTTTATAAATTCAGGTGTTGCCCGAGCCCAGTGTAGACTAGTATCTGCACTCCAGTAAAGCAGACTGTGAGACTTGGACCAGTGAACAAGGCTTTAGTCGGGTTATGCTGTGGGCCTGCTGGCAGCAGTTACTGGTGTCCATCCCATAGCATCAACAGCATTTCCCAGGTCCTGCCTGGCTCAGGCAGCCAGGACCCTGCAAGGTGCACTTGCAGCAGTGGAGGTGAGTGGTATGGGGACATGGCCCCCAGGGTGGTCAGTGTGGAGCAGGAGCTGGGAGTGTTTGCTGCTGAGAAATTGGAGTATCACTGCTGCCTGTTTTGAAGATATGGTGTGACTGCAGCCTCTCTTGCAGTTTGTGACAGTTCCTGCCTGTTGCAGCATCAGTGAGGGAGCAGCTTCCCAACTTCAGCTTTCCCCATGCCGCTGCACAGCCCAGGACCATCAAGGTAGCATCTAACTGGACATGTCAGTGGGCACAGTTGGGGTGATGTCACCTGCATGATCCCATTTCCTACAGCTTTGCTATGGCTGTGTGTTCTGGTGGGAAAAGAAATTGACTTGTGCTGCATGCTGGCACCAGCTGAAACACACTGCCCACCACCTCAGTGCACTCACATCCACTCTTTGGATGTGTGGACCAATTGATACTCAATGAGGTGACACAGTGATTACCTTTAGTGTCCTGTCCTGCAGCAACAGCACGCTCAGATTCTGGCCTGCAGGATGAGCAGGGGTTTGCAGAGCTGGTGTTTTGTTGCTTCTGAGCATAGCTTCGCACCCGAGTTTTGGGCTGCCTTTTTCCAACAACGTCCAGAAGACCTTGGACCCCTGCTCCAGTGGCTCCAACAAGAGATTGAGAGAAGCTGCAGCAACAAATGATAGGAGGTGCCTGCAGGACAGTACTGTGTTGCTTGACCAAATGGTGTTATGGGCACTGACGCCATTTGTCCAAGACCTCGTGCTGTCCTTTTTGAAGAGGCTTATCAATGCTATGTAGCCCTATATGGCTTAGAGATCCATGGTCAGCAGGATACCCATTCTGAGGAGGGTGGGAGGAGCTCCACAGCCACCCTGGCCCCTCCATCTTCCATTGCAGTCCTTCTGCCCCTGGCCCAGGTCACTGCCAGCCCTACAGGCTTCCCCTCGCCCAGCACTGAGTGGCCCCAGCATCCTGTGTGGGCATCCAAGGCTCATCACCACCACCATTATATCCTCAAAAGAGGAGCTGCAGGAAGAGCTGGGGCAGTTGGCAACAGTAGGCCCCTCCATCCAGAGCAGAGACCACTTTGTTTGGTGGCCATGGTGCCCATCAAAGAGGAAGGCCCACAGCAGCACCCAGAACTAGCCCTCACCCTGCAAGAGGGTTCAAGGAGCTGGGAGGAGAACATCTGTCTCTCAGTCTGCTTCTAAGAGAAAAAAAAATAATTTTAAGATAGAGAAAGAAAGAAAGTGTCTCTGTTATTGACAAGTTAGGACTGTTTCTCTTCTTGTGCTGGTTTCTCCCTCTTCTGATCCTATGGAAGCTGTAGAATCACAAGTTTATTTCTATGATCAGAAATTAGCAGTCAAAACTGTGCTAAAGAAACAAGAGCAGGTCCCAATAAACAAAAGATGGACCTCGTGTTCTAATGATAATGATAATTATAATGATAATAATAATAATAATAATAATAATAATAATAATAATAATCCAGTCACCAGGATAGGCTCATTTCCTCTCATAGTGCCAGCTCCAGGCCACAAATAATGAAGTTAATTAGCTTAGTTTAATTTTAGCAAACTGAGCTGTGATTTTGTTTTCTCTTTGGACTTCAGATGAGTTAGTCTGAAGATAACTGCTGACTACTTTTAGATGAGATAACTCAGATCGGAGCTAGTAACTGAGTCCTACTGAAGGTGAATTCCAAAAGGTAAGAGAAATCTTCCCAGATGAGCTATTGACAACTAACTCGATGCTTCTCTTTCTGTACTCAAACACTCTGAAAGTTTCATTTATCATATTTCTCCACGAAGGGCTTACTATAGTTTCACAATCAGTGTTCACTAGCTGTTTTGTATTCACTAGCTGTTCTCTTGACACTTTCGCCTTATGCTTTCAGAGCTGTGTGAATTGTGTTTGTCCTTTTTTTGTGATTGAAAATTTACTGCTACTCATGGCTAGCAGTTAAAAAACATTTGCTCACTCTTCAAGCATATCCTTAGGGATTTACTATTTTCCTGCACGCCTCTTTCACCAGATTGAAAGGAATATTTTTTCTTAACAGCTGAAATAATTAACACTTTGGAATCTAGAGTCCAAAAAACATCATCGTATTGTTAAGCATGTTAAACATGTTACAGAGAAAGGTGATTGCGAGCTTGAAGTCTAAATGTTTCTGCTAGACTGATCACATCTCAGTTTTCCCTTAAAGTAAACAGGGCTCATTAGATTAATTACTAGAACAGGCAGGAACAGGAGATTATTTTAAAGCTGAAGCATCAGTTATCTACACCAGATGTCATGGTAACTGAAATTACCCTACCAGTTCAGATGCCATTCTGTCAGAGTGCTCCTCTGTTACCATCTGCCACAAGGCTGCAAAATGTAACAGGATACTGGCAGGAAGGTTCAGCCTCTAATGCCATGCCAACATCCATCCCTGGGGTCATGGGCCGACATAATGAAATAGGAGACATTACTTTTGGAGCAGCCCTTCTACTGTAGTCATTTAGTTTATAATCTGCTGAAACTTCATATACAGTAGATTCATCCTAGTAGTAGATTGCATGTTAAGGTTGAAATCCATCTCTAATCTGCCCTTATATTTAAAGAACAGAAGAAATTTTATGATTGCCTTTAATGTATATATTTCAGCTCTTGAAAACAAAATAAGTCCTTTAAAAAAATTGAGCTTGCATAATGTTGTAGTCCATATATTTCCTTAATTTACAATTATGCTGCAGGCTATTCCTCTCATTTTGTTCCATTCCTGGGCTCTGAGTTATGGGGTGGAATGTTACTGCTACTTTCAGAGCAGTTGCTGATTCATTTTTTCCATTCATTTGTTTCCAAGTAGCCTTGGAAAAGCTTTTGAAATGAGACTGGGTTAAATACAAGGCTGGGCAAGGTGAGAGTGCGGTCAAATTGCATAACCTTTGCATTAGAGTCATCAGAGGACGCAATCAAGAAGCATCTTTACCAAACATCTAAATGTCTTCAGATAGCAAGTATCACTGTGGGCCTTTTGAATTCTGGCTGTGTTCTTCAAGACAGCTGTAGTTCAAGTGCTGTCCATGAACTGTAAGCCTACAGAAAAAAATGTTTTTGTGTAATTAATGAGCACAAAGAAATCCTAAGAAACTCATGAGAAGTATAACATCTACCAGTTGAAAGTCTTTGCTTGATTTGTTCACATTCAAAAGAAAACTGTCTATATTCTCTCGAAGTACTTGGGAGTTTCCTATAAATTTTTCCTTTCTAAAGTGAAAGGAACCACTTTCAAAAGAGCAAGAAAATGAATGATGTAATTACAGAGATCATACAGCAATCTCTGTGATACGCTGGATAAGTGTGGCAAATGGAGCAGGACAATTAGGATACGGGAATACTCATGAGAACCAGGTACAGGTACATAGCTGTTTAAACCTCTGCTGAAGTATTTTTCATTCCACCAAGGTCATATTAGCAGCATGTTCACCTATGTAAGCTCTTGGACTCATTCTAAACTTAAGGCCTCTTTTGAGAGGTTTGCCTTGTGTTACATGAAGACTGGTACTTGCTTGTATATGCTGAGGTTTTTATGGCTCCTAAGATAGATAAGCCTCCAGGAGAAGGTTGAAGGTCAGTCCAAATTAGGTGATTACAGAACTACTATGAAGAGTAGAGTAAGAGCTGGCAGGTGGTCAGCAGAGCAATGATATGAAGCACTATTTTCACAGTAGTGGCTCCATCTTCAGCATAAAAACATTTACAATAATCTGAACATGGTTATTGACAGTAAATTTATTAGTTTTCTCATTGTTCTGTCAGTTAATTGCTTCGTGTTTCATGCTTCATGTCTTGTTGTCATGTCTAAAAATGTAATGGACTTTAAAGAATATACACGTGTATATGGATAGTTGAAAAACCTTAGTGAAGAACATAGGACTGCAAATGTATCTTTCAAAGTGGCATGAAAGATAGTACGTCTAGTATTTGGTGGCTAGTTCTGCTCATGGCAGATTCTCTGTGGGGAATTCACTTGCATTTTTCTGAAAGTATCTGACAATAGGTGGAGTAAGAGATGTTAGTCAGCATAGACTAAGTGTTATAGCAAAACTTGTGCTTGAAGATGCATTTCAAAATTGCTCATATGGTTGGCCAGGCTTAGTTATTTCCATGCCTACCTTCAGTTACAACCTTGACTCTAGGTGGCAATAGACATACACAGTAAGCTACAGTGAT